GGAAATCCTGTCCAGCGGACCCTTCCTTACTTTCCTAGAGATATCCGCTGCCCTTTAGTTGCTAATCAACATTCCCTGAGCTACTCAGACTCTGCCTTTATCTGTTTTGGGAACGGAGTCAGAACAAGTCCATCTGTTCTGTCGCCATCTTCAAGCTCCGCCCTGTATCACCTTTTTAAATGGCTCCCCCTCATCATTTTTGACATTCCCCTTGGTATATTACACTGCTGACTGCATAGTTCCTCCGGAAACTCTCTGCTGCCCTCTCCCATGCCATGTGGTCTTCCAGTTGCCCTCCTGTTCCTATGACACTCCTTCCTAGCCCTCTGAGGCTCCTTTCTGTCCATCCTTCCCTTAACTGTAGACATTTTCCCCTCTGCTCAACCCACATGTGGTGCTCATTGTAGAATTTCAGTTGTCTCCACGATGATTCTCAGATCTTGAGCTCAAACCTAGACCAGTTTTTAGAGCTGTAGACCTATATAACATTGCTTACTAGACTAACTATCTTATGGCATCCTCCACTTCCAACTCCTCATCCCCTTTTATCAAAATTGCCTCTTCTCTAGTGTTCCATGTCCTAGCAAACTGTGTCACCATCCACCATATGCCCAAGGTCCCTTTCATTTTCATTCTCCTATTTCCACATACAGTTCATCACTGGCTTCTTAACTCTACCTTTAAGCATGTCTCAATCTGTCTACATCTTTCCACATCCATTGCAATCACCTAGACTCTGCTTCCATAATCTCTTGCTGAAGCTCGCAAGTTGCCTTCAATGGAATGAACTTTTCTTATCTTTTGTCTTATCTTTTGTCACTTCCTCTTTCCTTCTCCATGCCCCAAACATTTTGAACTTTCAGTCCCTCCTCTGAGCCATTTTCACATTTATCTTTGGCTGTTGCACAAATAATTCCCTGGGCCTAGAGCATACATTCACCTGTCATACACAGCTCTCACTCTTTTCCATGCTTTTTCTTTCGTCTCTTGTAATTTATTTGATTTATACATCTCTTCCTCTGGGAAATGTCCTCTTCTTTAGGCAAAGTTAGGTTTCTTTGATATATATGTATATAAAAGCCAAGCGACTGGAACAATGGAATGACCAGAATGACTGGTATCTATAACACACCCTTCCCCCTAGCTGGCCCAGCCCCTGATTGGCCCTCCACCCCAGTAGGGGGCAGGGCTGGCTGGGTGAAGAGGCTGGCCAGCCCCACCCCTGATCACCCCCCAATCAGAGACAAGGCTGCCGACCTCTCACAGCCCCATTCTTTCTGCCAGCCTGGCCCCAATGGGGCCCCAATCGGGGGGCGAGGCCAATGGCCAACCTCCCACGGCCCCTCCCTCCAGGTGTCCCACCCCTGATCAGCCCAATTGGGGGCAGGCCAACCAGACCCCATCCATGCACAAATTAATGCACCTCTAGTATTCTCATAATTACCTAAACTTCTTCCTTCATAATACTCATTACACATTATTGTCAACACTTGCTTGTGTTCACTTTTCTATCTAGAATACCTCATCAAATATATCAGATATCTTATTGGTGTCATTTATTTTTTTCCTAGAGAGCATATCCATAAACTGGAATCTTCTACACAGCTATCAATCTGTGTTTGGTTCAATGCCTCCTTTTTCTGATGGATTCCTTGTTTGCTGGGTTACATATATTGAATTTTTTCTTGCTGTATATTCTTGGTTGGTGAAATTCATTCTTCTAGAATATCATGAGGATGGATGATGCATAGAAAGATATCTTTTAGGAAACTTGCATGTGTAAATATGTTTTTATTTTGCCTTTACACTTGATGTATACTTTAGCTGGTTATAGAATTCTCTGCTAAGATTTTTATCTCCTTAATGTTAATACATTTCCCTAGAATTTTCCAGTGTTGATGGCTGATGTTGAGAATTCTAATGCCATTTTGATTCAAAATAATTTTTAGAGAACTTATATTTATCCCTCTGTACCTGGAAGCTTTTAGAATCCTTTTCATTATTCTTAGATTTCTGAAATCTTATGGTGATGTGCTTTGGCAGAGATCCATTTTTTTTTTTTTTAACCATTATGCTGAGTAGGTTCTTCCAACCAGAAAATGTATATTTTTTACCCCAGGGACATTTTCTTGTATTTCTTATGTACTTTCTTCCCCACCATTTTCTTGATCTTGTCTTTCTCATTCTACTGGAGTTCCTAGATTGATTCATTTTCTTGTCTTTTCTATGGTTAGTTTGTCTTTTGTACTTTTTTTTAGGGTTTATTTATTTTTAACTTCTGTTATTTTATTGGTTGTATTTCAGATCTAGAGTTTTCCTGGTTCTCCTCAAAATAAACTTTTTGTTCCTGCTGATGTTAGAAAGTGGTAGTTACTTGGAAAATATAGGTGGACAGATATATTAGGGCCTACTGTTCCTTAAACAGTGCATTGATCAGTTAATACCAACTACTTTTGGTGATATCTGGTGCCTGCAATTTTTGAGCCTTTCTGATATTTTGCAGCATAAGCTGGCTTGCTTTCTTGTCCTGTCTTTTACTATAAGCACTTAGTATACAACCATAACAACTTTGCTAACTCTTCATTAATGTTCATTTTCTAAGACATTCATTACATCTCTCAATACACTATTGTATTCATGACTGTTTTCTTTAACCTTGTGGTTTCATACATTTTAAAATTCATTATTATTTTTGTAGCATTTCAGAAATAGATAAGGATTATGTATGTGTTCAATTTTTCATGTTTAATTAAAACACTAATTAGTTTTTACTAAAAATTTAGCCAAGTTTTCTGATTACTGATATCTGGAAGAAAAGTCTCAATTTGAGTTCTGGTTCTAGACCTCCTTTTTCACCTCCTCCCTCCTCTTCCACTCTGTCCTTCTTTTCCTCTCTCTTCCTCTCTCTTCATCCTCTTCTTTTTTTCTGACTCACAAATAGGGTCTCAGCTGGTCTACTCTATTTGGCTTCAGAATCTTCAGGCTCCATCTGGGTTTTTCTCAGTTTCTTAATGTCACAGAATTATTGCTTGCTAAATTATTATGAAATATTTTATTTTACTGCTGCTTAAATGGATCTCAACTTATTCTTTAAATCCTCCTTTGCTACTGATGGTGGTGGTGGTGGTGATGGTAGGGACAATGATAGATATATTTAGTGAGCTCTTAGCATGTACCAAGCACAAAGTGCAGCATGTTACATAGATTGTCTCCTTTAATGAATCCTGTGGGCTAGTTAACATTTGCTCATTGATAAGAAAATAAAACTTATGGAGTTTTAATAGCTGGCTTAAGAAACTACAACTGGTGAATTATGAATCTGGGCTTTAAACAACTATTTTCTGACCTCAAAGATCAGACTTTACCCACTACACTGTACTATTGTACATCTTCTTGATGGCAATTGATATGAGAAAGACATTGATTAGAATGTAATTTTGAATTATTAGATTTCCATAAATTGTTAGAAGCACTTTCTAACAATAGATGCCTAATGTTGACAGGAGTGCTAGTCTGGAAATAGCCACACAAGGGTGGCATGATCTTGTGTGAGGCATGTGGAAGGTGGGGGTGATGTCCTGCATTTAGATGGAACATGGACTTCAAAATCCCTTTAAATTTTTCAAATCTATCATCTGTCCCTTCTGCTGTTAGTTCTCCAAACTATCTCCTAGAATTTTTCCCATAGACTAGTTAGCATAATTGGCAGCCTTCTCCATCTGATTTCATTGTCTATATATTGTGTATCAATGGGAGGTATGAAAAGACTATACCCTCAGATATATTTTAACATTTAATATTAAAATGATAATAGCTACCATCCATTGAATACTTACCATGCCAAGATTCTGTGTTAAAAATTATATAAACATTCTTTCACTTATTCCTTATACCAACCCTAGAGGCTGGGCCATTATTATCTTGTTATTATTCTAGAACAGTGTTTGGCAAACTGCGGCTTGCGAGCAACATGTGGCTTTTTGGCCCCTTGAGTGTGGCTCTTCCACAAAATACCATGGCCTAGGCAAGTCTATTTTGAAGAAGTGGCATTAGAAGAAGCTTAAATTTTAAAAATGTGGCTTTAAAAAGAAATATCAATCATTGTACTGTTGATATTTGGCTCTGTTGACTAATGAGTTTGCCGACCACTGTTCTAGGCCAAAAAAAGTCCTGCATGTGATTGATTTAGTCTGCTTGGGCTGCCATAACAAAATGCCACAAACTGTGTAGCTTAAACAACAGAAATTTATTTTTATCAAGGTGCTGGAGGCTGGAAGATTCAAAATTAAGTACTAGAAAATTTAGTTTCTAGTGAGGGCCTTCTTGCTGGCTTGCAGATGACCACCTCCTCACTGTGTCCTCACATGGGGAAGGCAGAGAGGTCACTGTATCTTCCTTGTTTCATAAGGGTACCAATCCTATTGGTTAGGACGCTGCATTTATGACCTCATTTAACCTTAAATATCTCCTGAAAGCCCTGTCTCTAAATACAGTCACATTAGGGTTTAGAACTTTGATAAGAATTGGAAAGAGAGTGATTTCAACACATAGCAGAGGTAGGCAGTGTTTTGCCTTGCTTTAATGGAAAGATTGTGCCATTTGTGTTATCAAGACCTGAAAAATGTTTTACTTTGGAGGAGAGTATCTTTCTATTATTTTCTGGATACCCTCTCTTCCCCATGAAGAGGGCAGATAGGTCACCTGCTAGATGATAGTACTATCTCAGTATTTGGCAGACAGGGCCAAGTCTCTTGTTGCTTATTAAAATGCAAGAAGAATTTAATTTCTTTCATGATCCTTTTAGAGGGAGCCTTTCATTATCCTGATGAAGGGCCTCCTCAGGTTGTCTTTAAGAAAAAAATATTTTCCTTCATATCTCTTTATCTGTCCTTGGATCAGAGATAACTTTAGTGTCAACACTTAGTTTATTTTTCCTTTTTGTCTGTAGAACTAACTCTGTCCTCCAAAGGCTTTTGGTGACTGGTCTATTTCTTTTCCAGGAAGCTAAAAAAACTATTTCGGAAGCTGAAAGATGAAACAGAACCTAGAGAAACTGACTCTGCCCATTCAAGACACCCAGAGCAGTGGGACCTAGACTACAGCTTGGAACCATACACTGGACTGACTCCAGAGTACATGGAAATGAGTAAGAGATAGTGATCTTTCCTTCCACTGGATGCAGGTTCAGACGTGTGGTCTGGGAGAGGAGTGAGGAGAAGGTTTGGGAAGGTTTGGGAAATGACAACCACTGCACCTTCCTAGGCTTCCTGGTTACACAATGTCACCTTCAGTGCCACATAAAAGTAGAGGAGGGTGCAGCAGAAAGAATCATGGAATGAGAACCAGGAACAACTCTTATCACCGAGTTGATACTAGGATGATGCTCTCTTCTCCTTGAGCTTCCTCTCCTCATCTTGAAATGAGAAGTTTGGTCCCTCAGGATCCCTTTGCATGGCTTCTATCATTGATAAAGCTGAAATAAAAATAGTGAAGTCTAAAATTTAAGGACAGAGTTTCCACTAAGGAAAATTAAACTAGTCCTATCACACTTTGGATAAGAGTTACCATGTTTCCTTGAAAATAAAACATCCTCTGAAAATAAGACCTAGTGCATGGAAAGATATGACATCCCCTGAAAATAAGACCTAGTGCAACTTTGGGAGAAAAAATTAATATAAGACACTGTCTTATTTTCGGGGAAACGGGGTATATACATCTTTGACATGGAGAGTACAGGAGAGTCCCCCACTCAGATAAGGTAGGTCTGGGTAAGATGCCAACTTTTTTCTTAAAAAACCTGAGGATATTTAAGGTTGAGAAATAGATTTCTAGTTACTGGGACTCCAGTTGTTCTTGAATAGGCTTTAAAACAGGAGTGCCTAAAGTACAGACTGATAAAACACAGTGGTTTTATATGTGATTTAGAAGCCGTGAGTTTTCCATTATGAGAAGTGTCCCAACTTAGACTAGCTACTTTCAAATTCCTGGCTACTTTTGAATAATTCTGATCTTTTATTGAAGTGGATATTTGAGAAACCTCTTTCTAAGACTTGGAACTAATGGATTAAAAACATAGGACCAAGAGGTTAGACATATAATCTAAACATTTATTCAATCTAGAGTGTTGGAGAAGATCAATCAGCTCCAACAAAAGATTCACTCAATATCTAACATCATTGTATTTTCATGATGACTCCTGCCTACTTTGGTTAATCACTTTTAAAAATATATATATATTTTATTGATTTTTTACAGAGAGGAAGGGAGAGAGATAGAGAGCTAGAAACGTCGATGAGAGAGAAACATCGACCATCTGCCTCTTGCACACCCCCTACTGGGGATGTGCCCGCAACCAAGGTACATACCCTTGACCGGAATCGAACCTGGGACCTTTCAGTCAGCAGACCGACGCTCTACCGCTGAGCCAAACCGGTTTTGGCTGGTTAATCACTTTTAATAGAGGGCCACTAATGCCTTTCTGGGCACCAGGTACTTCCCATCTTATTTCTAATGGATACTTATCCTCTTCTGTGTTGTAAAAGTGTGTGTGTGTGTGTGTGTGTGTGTGTGTGTGTGTGTTTGTGTTTATTAAGGGTAGAGAAAAGGACTTATTCCTTATAGCTTTAGATGACCTCAAAATTTCTGTTCTAGCCCTGGGGATCTAAAATTCCCGGCAAAACCTGAGCTTTGTATTCTAAATAAACTCACCAGAGAAGAAACAATCATTGTGTCTGTTTCAGGAACAACAGGCTAAGAAAACATCAAGTCCCAGTTTATGTAAACACATAGCTCTCTTATGCTTTTCACCTTCAGTTAAGTGCTACCTCTAATCCCTCTCCAACTAGATATTTACACAGAGATGATTACTTGTATTTAAGATGCTATTCTATGCCTGCTATCCTCTCAGTAAAAATTGGCTGCCAGAGATTTGAGGCTTCCATTTGAAAAAGGTTTATATGGGAAATCTTTGAGCCCTGTCTGCCAACCTCCACCTTCCAATTCCAGTGCCCTGTCTCCCCAACCAATTATCTGTGTAGGTTTTACATGGCTGTCTGTCCAGATAGTTACTAGAAAGCTTTCTCTTTTGAGTGGTTAAGATCAGAGACCCTCAAGCCAAGTGCCTTAGGTTCAAAACCTAGCGTTATCACCAACTAGCTGGGCAGCTTTAGGTAAGTGGCCAACCTTTGTGTCTCAATTAGCTTTAGCTGCAAATAATAATAATAATAATAATAATAATAATAATAATATCTACTTTATATGATTGTTGTATTTAATAAATCAATATCTGTAAAGTTCTTAGAAGAGTGTCTAGCACATATATAAACTATGTGAAGTGTCAAGTGTTGTTTCTCTTAATGGCCCTGGCCCTGGGCCCTAGGAAGGCAGAGTATCTATACTAATAAAAGGGAAATATGCTAATTAGACTGGGAGACCTTCAGGACATTCTTCTGGACAAAACCATGGTGGTGGGGCTGTGGTAGAGGTGGTTACAGGTCAAGAGGGTAGGGCAGTTGTGGGTGATCAGGATGGTGGGGGCGGGCCGTTGGGGGTAAGCGGACCACAGGGGAACTAGTTGGGGGCAAGCAGACCGTCAATGGGGGTTGGTGGTCATCAGGACAGTGTGGGGAGGGGGACAGTTTGGAGTGAGAAGGCCAGCAGGGGGACAGTTGGGGGTGAGCAAGTCAGTGGGGAGGGAAGGTGAGGGCGAGTGGGCCAGCAGGGAAGGCAGTTGGGGGTGAGCACACTGGAATGGGGGAGCAGTTGGGAGTGATCGGGCTGACAGGGGGGCATTTAGAGATGAGCAGGCTGACAGCAGGGGGCAGTTGGGGGCAAGCAGGCCAGCAGGCAGAGTGGTTAGGGGCAATTAGGCAGGCAGGTGAGAGGTTAGGAGCCAGCAGTTGCAGATTTCGAGAGGGATGTCTGACTGCCAGTTTAGGCCCCATCCCTATAAATTGGCAGTAGGACATCCTTCGAGGGGTCCCAGATTGGAGAAAGTGCAGTCTGGGTTGAGGAAACCCTCCCATACCTCATGCACAAATTTTGTGCACTGGGCCACTAGTAGGGAAATATGCTCCAATTTGTGAGCCATTGTATTATTAAATAGACAGCTACTCTGTCTCAAAGTTGGGTAATTAAAAATTCATGAGAAGATGAAAAAACAACTAGTAGACTTGGTGATTTGGGGGAAAAATTCACACCAAGATTATAGAGAGTGAAATTGATTCTATAGAGAAATTATTAATTAGTTGCTTTTCTGTCTCAGCATTGCATTTGATACATACATTGATGATATATTGCTCACATATCTGTCCTTCAGCAGACTCACTCTATTACATTCCAAAGATCAGTCAGTAGGGACTAAGGCTTATTGATTTCCATATCATCCAGAGTCTTGTACATTTCCTGGCACGTAACAGGCAAATAATATGTCTGATAAATAAAAACAAATGAATGAATTTATTTTTATTTATTTTAAATTAAATTTATTATAGGGGCCTTAGTCGACACCATCATTAGGTTTCAGGTGCGGTTTCTATGGTACAAGATCTGTATATTGTACCTTGTGCCTACCATAAGGTGACCAGACTTCCCGCTTTTGGCGGGACAGTCCCGATTTTTAACAATTTGTCCCGCGTCCCGTGGCATTTTAAAGAAGTCTCTCTTATACTTGCTCTGATATAGAAGAAAATGTGAGTGCTTTAGGGGCAGAGACTGAGCCTTATTCCTCTCCAGCTACAACACTTGGCACAGTTCCTGAAACATAGTAAAAGCTCAATAAAATATTTCTTGAATAAATGTCTCTTTAACTCTTCTTCCTTTAGCAGCATGGAAATAGAAACCTTGCTTCTCTTTAGGATATCTGGCCCAGTCTTCCTTTTCACTGTAAACATTTTTATATGTATTTTTAATATGCAGCAATTTTCATCTCCCAAGAACAAAGTAAACCCTGTTTATTATCAGGGTTTCCCCCTCAAAGAAAAGTCACTTCTGGTTTTAATTTGCTCCTTTGCCTTCAGGGATCAAGTCATTAGTGGAAGTGGACAGAGTGGAATGCTCTCACTCAGACTCAGGATTTAAGTTCAACTCCAATTTCAAGTCTTTCCCTCTGTACCGCCCCCTCCAAGCCATCCCTGAGGCTAATGGTATGTCAGTACCCATGCCAGGCACTGAGGACACAGAGGCAACAAATGGGCCTAGGCCCTGCAGGCCCTAAGGATCCAGTGGCAGAGAGAAATGGACAGACAGTCACAAGAAAGGACCTGGTTGTCATAGAAAAAATGCAGCTAACTTCTTGCTTTGAAGGTATTAGGTCTTTGCAGCTTTTATTTGACTGAGCAGAAGTGTGTGACAGAGAACTGGCCACTCTAGTGTGCCTTTGGCCTCTAACTACCCACTCACTGAACATCCTTGGGTTTTAGAAACTTCCAACTGAGTCAGCACAAAGTCAGTCTGGAAACAAGAGGCTCCTCTCCCAGCCATCATCTCAGACTTGTTTTGGGACTTTAGACAGGAACAGGAAAAGAATCCATCTCTGGGAAAACATGTTTCAGCCCTCCTGACTGGAAACTTAGTTTCTGTGACTATTTTCTGAGTTATCTACCACATTTGCGGCCCCACCATCCTCCAGGCCCCTAGCTGAGAAATCTCCGCATCACTGTTCTTCATTTTCTGTCTCCACACAGTCCCATCGAGTGGGTGGGTCTTTCCCCTGGACTATCTCTGGAAGCTGGTCCTGTGGGTAGCTCTTAGCCTCCTCTACTTGCTGCTTTTTCTGCTATACCCTCAACACAGTCACTTGCTACCACCATCCCACAACTGCCCTTTTTATTATTTCAGAGGGTAGTGTTGGTCTTATCATCCATTGTTCAGAAACTTCCAGAGACTCATATCCTTAACAAAGCCTTCGTGGGGCATCCTGTCAATTTAAGCATTTCAGGGTCAGCCACAATGAACCCCATAAGCCATTTTTTAAAAATATATTTTATTGATTTTTCACAGAGAGGAAGAGAGAGGGATAGAGAGTTAGAAACATTGATGAGAGAAAACCATCGATCAGCTGCCTCTTGCACACCCCCTACTGGGGATGTGCCCGCAACCAAGTACATGCCCTTGCCCAGAATCGAACCCGGGACCTTTCAGTCCGCA